TTCTTACCTTGTCAATAACTACCTCCTGAGTTTGGCAATAATTGACAAGATATACACTCCTCCAGTGGATTCAATATATTGGCTAAACACTTCTTCAGAGGCTGATCTTTTGATTTGCAAATGTTTGACATTATTTCTGGAAACTATGGTGATCAACCTTGTTTTGCTGTAAGACTTTCCTTGCCTTCATGAGATGCACTTCTTAAAATCCTTTCTTCGGAGAAGCGGCTTTGAGGATAAAAGGCCAGCGTTCTTTGTAGTTGGTTAGTACAGGCATGTTCTCAAAGATGCCAGGAGTAGCCTTTCAGGCAGGTTTTTTTACCACTAGACTTGGGGAATAAAGTACTTTATCTAACAGTCGCACACCCATCAAAGGGACTGGGAACACAGAAACCGTTTATACCACATGATTCAAATTTTTACTCGTGTGAAGGGCTAGTCAGTATTTTTCAGAAATATGTATTAAAGTGAAAAAAACCAAAGGTGGAGACAAAACAGCATACCCCACCCCCATTAAGTATATTGGACGACTCCAGTCTGGGATGGGGTTAATATTTGTATTTTGTTGTTTTGAAGCACTTTTATTTCATTGTTCTTTTAAGAATGTTTTCCGAAATGTTGGAACACCATTTTACTAATAAGCAGTGTAAAAAAGCATGATGAGCAGTCACATAGCTTTAGCTTCACAATAAAATGTTGCATTTGTCCTGTTCTTACTGTTTTCTTGTCTGTTTTTCAGATAAAATGTCCAAAACTAAGAGCATTTTCATTAAACCTGAAGCCCATTAAATTGCTGCTGGTTTAAAAAAAAAAAATTAAAAAATCAGATGTCATATACCAGATGATGGAACAATAAATGTGTAAATAAATCAATTTCTAAAGGACTTAACTCAGGTTCTTAAAACTAATGTAAACAGAAGTGCTACTTCCTAAATAAATGTGCTGAACTTGAAAGTGTGTGCTTATCCTAGTCTTGCCTAGATCGTAGTAAAAACCAGGAGGTTTCACATAACTGATTCTAGTGGTCATGGTGAAGTCCTGAAAAATTTGGAGCCAGTTTACTTGGCTTCAAAATGACACCTTTTCTTTTGCTTGGGTGAGAGTGCTGCTGTTAATTTTGAGTTAACAATCTAAATTCTACACTTATCTCCATTTCCTTACTGCTTGTAATTCCACAGTCTTGAGGCTGTATCTGGACTGCTAGGAACTACTGGGACGTTACGTTTTTACATCCCAAAGATAAGATGAATCAAACTTTTTTTAGAGTAATTTTAATATTACATATCTTGCAGCATTAGGGGGCTCTCAAAAAGCAGCCATGACCACTGCCTTCCACGCATCATTTTATCAATCACTGCTAAAACAAGCAAGCCAAATAAAAATCAATACAGTAATGAGGAAAAAAACCCAATGTTTTGGACTGAACCATTTGAGCTGTTTCTGTGATTCTGTCAAGGATTAATTCCTTGGGATAGAAAGACATCAATGTTATCTATGCGGGGTAATTATCCAGTATCTCTTTTTGGCTGAAATGCTACTTCTTGGAGGTTAAATAGACTTCTATTCTGAGGAGATGCTCAGGTAAACTAAAATTGGTGGAGAAGCAAGAGCCTGAAAAAATATCTCACCACTTGCTGTGTTGAAGTCTACAGAGATTATGTACTTGGCAGCATACCCTGGACTGAAGTCTCTTGGACTCACTAAATCTTTCCCATTCCAGCCAAGATGACATGCCTGGTGTCAGATGCATGCCTGGTGTCAGATGCAGGCATATCTCAGATGAAAATCTGTTTAATTCTATATTTTAGTGCTCTAAGTTTGCCAGAGAAAAGTGAGAAAAACTAAGTTTAAAGTTGTTGGCTTTTGTTTGGGGTTTTCTGTTTTGTTTTGTTTTTTGACTCATCTTTCTGCAAATTTCCAAATACTTTGTGAACTTGTGTAATGCAGCCTGTTTCCTACAAGGGTTCATATGGCTCTAGAAAAGAGAGAGTTATGCAACTTCATCTCTGAGTAATTTTTTATTCTATGTGTAGTGATAATACAGAAAATATTATGTAGTGGTGAAGGCAGAAAAATACAATTTAACTAAAATCCATCTCTCGACACGTGATTTATTCCAGGTGCTGTGTTGTAGCTATAAAAAAAAGGTATTTTTCAGAAATCAGCCTACAAACAACCTAATATGCAAAGTGCTGTTTTTACCAAATGCTTTTGAATATTTCACTTTTTTTTTGCAAGTATATACTGTAAAAACAATATATTCTTTTTAATACTGTCACTTCTGTTATTTTCAAATCTCCTTCTAGCAATTTCTAAAAGGCCTAAAAATTGCCTCCATTGTAAGACATCCTTGAAGACTGTTAGTTTTGTTATATGCATAAGGCTGGTATTAGCTGTGCTATTAGTTGTAGTATTTGTCTTCTGAGAAGACACTTCTACTAATGGAGTTTCTAACTGTTGGCCTCTTCTGGGAATAAGGCATGAAATAATCAAAAAGCCTGACAGTATGTCAGTAATGAAGTAGCCAAACAACTTTATATTTGTGGAGCAAATCATACAAGATAAAATGTGACCCTAGTGGTTCATGTTAAGTTCTGATTGCCTGATTAAATTTGAATGGAGGCAGCAGGTGCAATTTGAATTCTCTTACCTGTCATGCAGATTCTATACAGTGCAAAGCTTATTTTCTGAAAATGTTCCCAAAACCACTTCTGTAGACTGGAAAAAAATTGTTGATTACAGCCAACAGCTTAGAATGAAGTCTGGGACATTAAATACGTGTTTCATGGAATATAATTACCTATCAAGTCTGATAGTTGTTCTTAATTAATGATCCTGTGCTGTGTAAGGACCAGATAACACTCTGGAAAATAAAAATTATTTTGTTTTTTTAATCAATAATTCAATCACAATGCTTTGCAAATGCACATAAACAGGAGACAATACACACTTAAAGTTTACGCAGAGTGGCTGGGAAACAAGAACATGGCTTGTTCCTGGTTTCAGTTGATGTACAGGCCTCTCTCTCAGCCACAGGCAGGTAAGTCTTCTGGTATGTTTTACAGAACAGATGAGATGCAAATAACATTTTTAACCACTTTAACTATGAGCACTAGACAACTGAATAGACTGTTGAAAGAACAAAGATAGGGCAGTGTTAGAGAAAGTTGTATCTTAGTACGTACAACAATCTGTTTTAATAAAATAGCTTGCTTCAATTTTTGTTCCTACCTCTTCTAATTGGTTTGCAAATGCAATAATAAATAAGCTGGTTTATGACTAAATCTTTTGGTTCATTAAATCCCATGCAGGTGTTTTACAACACAATTTTCCTTAAGAGACCTATCTAAACTTCGAAGATGACTTCTGTTCTGTATTTTGTTCTCGTGAATGCTGGTTCCATGTGAAGTGATCTTAGCGTGCAAATTCCTTCTGACAAACAATTGGGCACAGTTAAGCAGTCTGCTGGTCAGCCCACACGAGGGGATGGCTGTCACCTTGCAGTCCTCATGTCCTGGTGTTCCAGAGCCTCAGTAACAATAGTCCCTAGCAGAATCCTCCTTCAAAGCTTGCTTTTTGCTTCAGACTGCAATAGACTTTGGGATGTAGATTCCTCATCTGGACTGTAATGCTTCTAATGTTTTTAACATATTCAGGGCAACAGGAGCAGTTCTCAGAATTTTAGCACATAACAAAGTGACTAGATTTTCAACAGAGTTTCTGTAGTTTGGAGAGCTACTGTTCTTTGGGGGTTTTGGTGGGGAAAAAAAATCCCTTCTGAAAGCTGTGTACTGACTGCCATTAGTGCCCAGTACAGCAGCAGAGCGAGTGCTGGCTGTGGTGATGCTAGTGTGACTTCAGGTATATTTTTATACTGGGGAGCAAACCCATCCTTGCAGAGTTGCTGTATCATGACCACCACATCAGAAACCTTTCCTTGTGTTCTCGCAGGCAGTGAGCAGATAAAACGCAGAAATATGGTGGGGTGGCATACGAGATACTTGTTTGAGGTTCCATAAGGCAAAGAGCCAGGTCCTGCACTTGGGTTACAACAACCCCATGCAGCAGTACAGGCTGGCGGAGGAGTGGCTGGAAGGCAGCCAAGTGGAAAAAGACCTGGGCGTGCTGTTTGACTGGCTGAACATGAGCCAGCAGTGTGCCCTAGTGGCCAAAAAGTCCAAGGGCATCCTGGCTTGTATCATCCACAGTGTGTCCAGCAGGACCAGGGCAGTGATCGTCCCCCTGTACTCGGCACTGGTGAGGCCACAGCTTGAGTACTGTGTTCAGTTCTGGGCCCCTCAATTTAGGAAGGGCATTGAGGTGCTGGAGCATGTCCAGAGAAGGGCAACGAGGCTGGGGAAGGGTCTGGAGCACAAGTCCTACCAGAAGCAGCTGGGGGAGCTGGGGTTGTTTACTCTAGGAAAAAAGAGACTCGGGGGGATCTTATTGCTCTCTACAATCACCTGAAAGGAGGTTGTAGCGAGGTGGGGGTCGGCATCTTCTCTCAGGCAACTAGTGACACAAGAGGACACGGTCTCAAGCAGCGCCAGGGGAGGTTCGGGTTGGACCCTAGGAAGAATTTCTTCACTGAAAGGGTGATTAGACACTGGAACGGATGGAGGTGTCCCTGGAGGTGTTTAAGGAAAGACTGGACGTGGCACTTAGTACCCTAGTCTAGTTGACATGGTGATGTTCGGTCATAGGTTGGTCTCGATGATCTTTTTCCAATCCAGTTTATTCTGTGATCGTGACCACCCGTCCGAGCCCTTTTCTCGGATTCTCGCAGGCAGCGGGCAGATAAACCGCAGCAATGCGGTGCGGCGGCGTATATGACCCGCATCTCCCAAGGGACGTGCGTGGGCCGCCACTTGTGAATGCGAAGGGAGGCAGGGAGGGCGGGTTTGGCCGCGCATCCCCCGGGGCAGCAGGACGGAGCCGCCGCGGGCTCCGGGCGGGCGCCGCTTCCGCCACGTGTCCGGCCGGGCCCGCTCGTTGCCGCGGCGACGGGAGCCGCCCCGCCTTTTCCGGCCTCGCATGGCGCCGTCTCTTCCGCTGCGGGGAGTAATATGGTGAGTGGCCCCCGCCGGGGGGAGGGAGGGGGCAAGGGAAGTCGTGCCTCGGACAGGGAGCGAGGAGGCTGCTGGAGGCGCCCCTTTCTCCGCCGGGGCGGCGGCGCCGCGGGGCGCCCGGGTTGACGCGGCCTTTTGGGGCCCCGGGGCCCGAGGGCTGCGGGGGGCGTCGGTGTCCGTGCGGTGTTTCCTCCTCGGAGCTCCCCGCCCTCCCCTCCAGCGCGGTCGCCGCGGGCTCTCGGGGCCGCAGCCAGCCGGCACCGCGGCAGAGGCGGGATGGTGCCGGGGTCGTGGGGGCTGCTCTGCCGGAGGGGCGTCTCGAATGAGATAACCGGGCTGGGTTTGAGCCTCAGAGTTTTCACTCCCCGGCACATCAGTCAGGGAACTGGGATTTACCCCAGGACAAGCAGGTTACAGTGCCCTTGCTCCTGTCCGTCGGTGGGAACACGGGGCTGTCACTCTGTGTCTCGCTTCCCAAAGAGAAGAAGTCGTTCTTGTGGGAACGACCTCTTTGTGTGTGTGTTCATCTGGGCGGCGAAATGTTCTCTTTCCATGCTGAGTATCAATGAAGTGACATCGATGTCAATAACAGGTGCTGTCACCTGTTGGCATTGTCGGAGCAGACGCGGGCGCTCGCTGCGGAAACACTTCTTTGTGCAGCTCTTTTAGCACCACACGGGGACCCTCAGAGGCTGAGGTGTGGGGCAGCTGCCCTCCTCGCCCGCACTGAGGTGTTGGCAGAACAGTAGGATTTAGGGAAGCTTTAATGCCAAGGTGCAACACCTGCTGCGTTAGAGCTCGCTTGCGGGGTGAGCTGTGATTAGGATGGGTTTGTGCGAGGTTCTCTGTGGCACAGAATATACAGCACAGCATCCTTCAGTAAGCAGGGAGATGGGGCATAATGTGACTGGGCAAGGGACATAGTGCGGGAAAGAAATGGGTGCGAAGGCAACAGAGAGGGCTGCGGAGATGGTGAAGGGCTTGAAGGGGAAGCCGTTTGAGGAGCAGCAGAGGTCACTTGGTCTGTTCAGCCTGAAGGAGACTGAGGGGAGACCTCATGGCAGTCTGCAGCTTCCTCTTGAGAGAAAGAGGAGGTGCAGGGACTAATCTCTTCCCTCTGGTGATCAGTGACAGGACCCAAGGGAATGGCCTGAAGTTGTGTCGGGGAGATTTAGGTTGGATATTAGGAAAAGGCTCTTCACCCATAGGGTGATTGGCTACTGGAACAGGCTCCCTGGGGAAGTGGTCACAGTGCCAAGCCTGACAGAGTTCAAGAGGTGTTTGAACAACGCCCTCAGGCATGTGATGTGATTCTTGGGGCTGTCCTATGCAGGGCCAGGAGTTGGAATTTGGTGATCCTTGTGGGTCCCTTCCAACTCAGGATATTCTGTGATTCTGCAATACAGCAACCTTCATAGGTAGGCAGTCCACTGCCTGTTAGAAAAGCTTTCCAAAGTGTTCTGGCATCCTGCATGTCTCCATTGAGAAATAAAATAATCGTGTAATGATTTGCTAGTAAAGAAAACAATAAGTGCCAGTGTTTTGCCCCAGATGACCTAAACTTGGATCTGTAGTACTGCTTAAATTTTAATTCATGGCACACATATATTTCTCAGATAATGTAAAATACAGCTGTGTTGACAAAGATGTCTGTAAGTTAATTGAGTTTGCTTTGGTGACCAGCCCATTAGGATATCTTTTTGTCTTCTGCTGGTACTTGAAGTGTGATAGTTTAAAATCAAACCTTATTTTGTCCAGCCCCAAATTGCTGCGGATGACAGACCATCCATTACAAATCCACAAATTTCTATTGCAAATCAGAAGGGCTTTTCACATGGAAAGCTTATTTCTTTGTGGGGACAGCAGGATGGAAAACAACTGACCAGAAGCTTGAGACCTCTGAGGGAAGGGAGCCAAGTGGCATGGCTGATGAATTGTTTGCTCCCTGTCATGCTTTCAGGAAAGGCACATAGCCCCCCCTCATTCCCATCTCCTGCATGCACATACATCCCCTCCACACCAGGAAAGAGCTTATCTGCATGCCACTGGAAGTTAGGAGACGGAGCACCTACAGTGACCACATCTACTGTGCATGATTAAGTTAAGCTGTAACTGAGCTTGTTTGTATCTCTCATAGTGTTATTGGCCTCGTGTCCACCACATCACAGATGATACTAGCATTGTTTTTACTTCTCTGATGGGTTCTCTTTTATAGATACATAAACAGTATTTTCCTGTTTAGTAAATCTGTTGGCTTTAGGTGGGAAGTATGCTTTGATAAAGAAAAATATTTGTGTTGTCAGACTGTCTGTAGTAGTTTTATCTAAATAAAAGTTTAAACCCACTCTTTAAATTTTATTATGTTTTCCTGTAAGCTTGAATTGTGGATTATGTCTAAATGAAGCTTGATTCTAAGTAATTCATCATTTTCTAATAGAATAACCATGTGAAATGGCTACCAAAATACTGTTTTATTTATTGTCTATGAGATATTTACTAGTTACACAAAAAATTACTTTTGAGTCTTTGATATAATTATGAAAATAGTTCACAAATGAATATTTTCTTTTTGCTAATTTAAACCATGGCTTAAGTAAAATGTTTTAATTAAACTATTGAATTTTTTTTTAAGGGGACAATACATCTGTTCCGTAAATCACAGAGATCATTGGTTGGAAAGTTAACACATGAATTTAGGTTGGTTGTAGCAGATAGAAGGGTAAGTATTGCTTTAAAAAGTCATCACAATAATAAAAAGACATTAGCTGTGATAAGTTAAAATATATTATTAAGTATATTTTGAAAATTATTCTTTGAATTTTCTAGTTGTGCTTAAGAAAAGAATTCAGCTCTGAAGCTGGATTCCTTCCTGTGCACTGTCCCTGTTGATTAGTGTTCTCCAGAATTATACTTATATTTAATGTGTTCAGTAGAACTCTAAACTGAATATGTGCAGATGTTTTTGGGTCCAAAGTTTCGCCTCAAAAAAAAGGAACCCATTAATATAAAGTTGTACAAATCTGTCTTCAGAAGTCAGATGGCGTGTGCTACAATAAAATGCAAATGTTATACAGGGGTGATTTTTTTTTTTAGACCAAAAAGGTATTTTAAGCATGGTGAACAAGGGCTGTTTATAAAGGAGTTTAGAAATAATCTATGAAGTTTAAAATAGAATAAGGGCTTGTTGTTCTGAAACGAGTGGTAAATTTTTGGGAGGGAAGAGAAGCCAGTTCTATTTTCATGATGAAGTCCTGCAATATTGTTTTTTAAAACCAAATAGATATATTTTTGTCTTGTAAATTTTGGAAGATGTAAAATACATATTTATTCTCATCAACAGTCCTGGAAGATTTTGCTGTTTGGTGCTATAAATTTAATATGTATTGGCTTCCTGCTCATGTGGTGCAGCTCTACAAACAGCATAGGTAGGTGACTCTCCTGTACTGAAGCTACAACCAACTACCATGTGTTTCTTAGCTTGTGAAGTTCTAACAGACTGAAAAAGCAAAGTTCAACAGGTAGTGCAGGTAGGTGGCTACACAGCCAGGTTCAGAAAGAGCTTCCTTTTGATTTGCCACAGTCAGTTTAGAGACATTTTTCACAGTCAAGTGTGAATGAATGAAAGGTTTTCCCGACCTGCTGGTTGTTTGCTTCCAGCAGTATCTTCTTCATTTTTAAGACTGAAATCCAGTAGACTTTTGAGTTAGTCCTCAAACCTGTTCCTTGTATAAATATCACCAGTGACATACAACAGCCCTCACTTGCAGTTGAATGAAGATGTTTGTAGTGTGGCAAATGGCTTAGGCTTCTTTGATTCCAGGAATGCCCCTTTTCAGTGTTTCTGTGGTATGTTGACCTTGGCTGAACATTGCCCACCAAGCTGTGGAGAGAAAAAGGGAAGAGAAGATAAGATGGAAGACAGCTTTTAGGGTGAGATAAGGCACTTTACTAAAGCAAAAGGTTCAAAAGGTTGCACACTCATAAGGAAAGAGAAAAAAAATTACTCCCTACGTCCCATCAGCAAGTGATGTTCATCCACTTCCCAGGAAGCAGGGCTTCAGCACGCGTAGCAATTGCTCTGGAAGACAAACGTTCTAATAACGAATGCCCTCCTCTTCCCCCTCCTTTTCTTAGCTTTTATATTTGAGCTGACATCACATGGTGTGGAATAACCATTTGGTCAGTTTGGATGAGCTGTCCTAGTTGTGTCCCCTCCCAGGATCTTGCCCACCCCCAACCCCTTGATAGGGGGGGAATGTTGAGAGACAGCGCTGATGCTGTGCCAGCACTGCTCAGCAGCAGCCAAAACACCAGTGTGTTATCAACACCTTGGTAGCTACCAATGCAGAGCACAGCACTGCGAGGGCTGCTGTGGGGAAATGAACTCCATCTCAGCCAGACCCAGCGCAGTTTTGTATGTCTTCTGCTTCTGAATAGGGGCTTCGAGATCTTCTGTACTGAAAATAGAAGGTTGAACATTTTTAATTTTTGTCACAGTTTTCCTTGTGGTTTTGAGATAGGTGGGAGATGCAAAGCAAGTAAAAAATTCTGTTGAACCTACTTTTCACTGCAGTAATGCACATAAGAAATCTCTTGCTTTGGTGGGTGATGTGCTTTTGGAAGATCTCCCGACTTTTCTGTGTTTAAATTCCTAGTCACAACATAGTCACAAATGTAATACATTTTGTATCTCGGCATTATTACATGGTTTAGTAGAATGAGGATTGCCATAATCAATCTGTTTGATGTTAAATATATTGGTGTGTTTAGAACATTCACAGAGACTTGTTCTATCAAGCAGAGACGGTTTATGTAGATAGAAGATTGAAAAGAGCTGCATGAAAGGGACTTAGAATAGAAGTGATTTCTGCATTGAAAAACTATATTAATTTTTAATATTTGCTTTTTTTACAGCTTTAACTGCTTACACATATTTGACAATCTTTGACCTTTTCAGGTGAGTTTTTTTCCCATTTTGTCTTACTGTTCATTTGTGGCTGTCTTTTTATATTTCCATACGCTTAACATTTACTTACAGATGCAAACACATGTAACTTAGTCATCAGTACAGAAACAGTAACTGGTTTAAATATAGAATAAATAAGTATAAAATTGGACATCACAATAAATAGATTATAAAACCCACCATAGCTGTACTGAGAATGACTAGTAGCAAATCAGTTCAGTCATGGAATTCTCTGTGCAGATGCATGACAACATAAAACAGATTCTAGCATCAAACTGTCATGTGGTTGTTCACTCAGAGCATTTCCCTAATGCCAGTGTCGTTGATTTTGAAGTAACCCTCAGTTTTAGCATCAGTAAACAAGGAGTAGGTAATTGTATTTCTATTTCAAAAATATTAATGAGCTGAGTCCCAGGCACTCTTCCCATGTGGTATTAGATATTTTTAGTGTTTTTCTTGTTTCTTAAGAAAATTATATTAAAACTACTTTTAAGTATGATAGTTCTGAACACTTTTGGTAATATTGGTAGTACAGACGTGAAATATATTCAGTTAAATTAATCTGTACTGCATTAGAATTGTGCTTTAACTTTAATGAATCTCGTATTTTTCGTACAATTTTGTATCTGCTGAGTTTTGTCATCTTGACCCAAAATACCTTTTTCACCTTGGGGGAAGTTTTGATGTTGTATTTCCTATTTGTGTAGAATTTTAGTTTTAGGAGAAGATAGAATACCCCTGGCAACTTTTCTGGGGTTGGACTAGAAGACTATTCTATCTTACAGCGATCTCTTTCAAGAGTTTTGATTTGCTCTAAGGGAGAACAATGCTCAGTAATTCTGCTGCAAAATTCAATTTCTGGTTATTTCATTTTTCTCATCTTCCTGGTTGTTTATAATAGTCTTACTGAGTATATGAATTTGCTGTTTTGTGTATGAGCAGTATTATTTCCTCTGATTTTTCTTTCACTCAGCACAGCTGGGGATCAGGTTGTGAGGATGTGATTGTTCATCAGTTGTAGGGATCAGTTCTTGATCCAGTCTGATTTAACATTGTCATTAATTATGAAAGGACTGCATGAAGGCAGAGATGGCATCAAATCCATATGGATTCCTGTTTAAAAAAACTGTCTGAAGGAGTCAATAGAGTTAAAAATAGGCAAAGTAAATGAGACTCATCCTTGAAAAATTCCGACTAGTACCATGGGGATAAAATAATTGGAATTCTAGTGTTAATTGTGAAAGAAAAACGTGGGAAGAAGATAGTAAGAAAGACCTGTGGCTGTCAATGAATGGCCAGTTAGATTAGAGGTTGTATACATCAGTGCAGCCAAAGAAAGTAAATCTGTTTTGGCCATATATGTAGAGCAATTACACTGTGACAAAGAAAGGCAATACTTGGCCGTGGCCTGAGACTCAGTCTAGAGTGCTAAACCAAATTCCTGGTGTATGTCTAAAAGAAGAGTTGAGTGGAAAACTTCCTTTGCTTTTTTTTTTTTTTCACTTTTCATGCTGATTTCTTTCTTTTCACAGTCTTGCTGATTAGCTTCCTTCTTATTTAAATGGCCTTTCTCAGGTTACAGTATCTCTAGGCAAGTTCAAAAAGCAAATGCAAGAGGAACATTTACTGGGTGTCTAGTTTGGTACTTTCCCTGGCTTTTGCTTTGTACTTTTCATTACTATGTGTGGTACTAGACAGTATTAAGAAGATTTTGTCAAATCACTTTTGCCTGTTAGTCAGGTTCTGGGGTACCTGGTCTCGTATGCTCCAGATCCCTTTCAGAAAAATTCATGGAGCACATGCAAATTAAACACTGGTTATGCTATTTTGTGTCAGGGTCTCAGAGGAAAAATGCATTGCATTTGGAGTTATGGTAAACTTGATTTAGGCTGGTTGATGTTCTATATTGAAGAAGGTTGGTGGTAGTCTTTGTAAGCACAGCATGCCATAAGGACAGCGTTAGGCTGTCTCCTGCTCTGAGGAATTAGATCGACTACCATTCTGCTAAAATTATTTGCTGCCCTTTTTATGGGACCAGCTGAGACATCATCGTGCAGTCTCAGCTTTATTCCCAAGCACAACCTTTTCTGGATTCACTGGAACAGTCATTGTGACAGTGGTGGAGGTGTTGAGTCAGGGTAAGATGTGGTCATATTTGTGTGTGGAGTTCTGATGGCTCAAGTGTATTTGTAGATTGTCCAGTTTATAAAGGCTGCAGTTATTTATCATAGTCTAATTCTCCCTCTTTTTTCAGTTTGATAACATGTCTAATAAGCTACTGGGTGATGATGAAGAAACCCAGCCCAGTCTATTCATTTGGGTAAGTACTAATAACAAGATCTGGTGTTTGATAATGCAACATTTGATATGTTGCTGGCTATCATTGCCTGGATCCCCTAACAGCCATGAGTAATAATTTGTGTGTGAAAGAGCCCAGAAATAAGGAGGGCCAAGACTGATGTTGTAAAAAACAGTTACAGAGTAGGGGAGGGACAGGAAGAAGAATTAAGAAATACTTAATTTTAAGCTGTATCTGGTAAGTGGAGTAATGACTTAAAAGAAACTGAAAATAATGCCCACTCTGTAAAATTCCCGTTTCTTCCCATCTGTCTGCTTTTGAAGGAATTGGAAAGAGTAGGTCTGTCCTGCTGGTTACTGTACGGAAAAAACTCTGTTTGATGTTCAGTGTTCCTAAACTTAATTCTCAAATTTCAGATTTGAAAGGTTTGAAGTTCTAGCCGTATTTGCATCTACAGTTCTGGCACAGCTTGGTGCTCTTTTTATACTGAAAGAAAGGTAAGTTGTGTACTGTTTTCTTTAATTTTTTGTAATGTATGAAGATATTCTTCACCTAGAGGGTGGTTGGGTGCTGGAACAGGCTCCGCAGGGAAGTAGTCACAGCACCAAGCCTGACAGAAGCGTTTAGATGATACTCTCAGGCACATGCTGTGACTCTTGGGGACGGTCCTGTACAGGCCTAAGAGTTGGACTCAATGATTCTTGTATGTTCCCTTCCAAATCGGCATATTCTGTGAATCTGTGATTCTGAGATATGGTCCAGATCGAGCCAAAGCACATGCATTCCAGAAGTGCTGTTTTAGAGATATTTTAGAAAAAAAATTAAAAATTTTTTTTAAAATATCGCTAAACCATACCACTTACTCACATTTATTACTCTGCAGGTAGGGTTTAGATATAATGATAGGAATTGATAAATATAATTAAACAGCTCTCAAGAGAAAGTTTCAATGTCTTTAAGAGTATATTTTTCCAAAATGTTGGGTAATTAACTTAATGCATTTCCTTATGCATCTTCACTTTTTAAATTCATTAACAAATAAAAACTGTTTTTAATTATTTTTTCTCTTTTACTTCTGTTACTTAGTGAAGTAAAGCAGCTACATAGTATCTTAAGAATCTGAATGTTTAAACTATCAACTGCTTCACTCCTGCAAAATTTGCTCATATATTAATTTGACATACCATCTATGATTGGAAGCATTTGTGTTTCAGGAGGTTAGCTTAAAAAATTATTTTAGTGTTTAAAGATGAAGAGGCTTTTGTTAACATCTGGGATTTAAAACTGGGGCAGTGTACCATCCCTTTTTCTATTCGAGGGCTCTGTTTTCTATATAAAGGGCTATGTTAACAACTTAGCGATTTTATACTATAAGGTTGGTCTGTTGTACTGACAGTACACTGGAATGGACCCACTGTCAAAGCCTCCAAATTTTCCAACATCAAAACTGATCGTAGGCTTTTCTGTTACATCTCATTTGGTAATTTACCAGTGCGTAAAAAAAAAAAGATCAATGTGTCTTCCACAGTGTCCAATGTCTACTTTATTTGACCTTACTTAGTGAGAGGCTGTAAGTCAGAAATTTCAGACTTAGTTTTTTGTGGTCACCAACAGTGGTGGTGGTAGCAGTAGCAGTATGTTCTTGCATGTTCATTTACAAGCATCTTTTTATCATGTAGGCAGCATTCATGGTAGCTAGCACCTATGTAACACAGTTTGGAAATATTTGGAAAACCTAAATTACATCTGCTTTGATTCAGTGTTAAATGCTTTCATTGCTTGTAAAAATTGCTGTGTTTATCTAAGCAATTAATTTTTTTCAGTGCTGTATCCATTAGTTTTTGTTTATGAATGGCATATACAGAACTATAAAAATACGCTTCAGGTTTCAAGGTTTTACTGTATGAACATAACTCAAATTTTCAATTATTTTTGTAGTGCAGAGCGGTTTCTGGAACAGCCTGAGATACACACGTAAGAAATTATTTTGACATGTAAAATGTGTCCGTGTCCCTTTATGTTTCTAATTCTTAATCTATCACGTGTTAGTTATGCAAGTACATTCAACACCAAATTGCTTTTGCTACCTTGGCATTTGTTTCAAACTATGTGCAAACTGTATTATGAACAGTTTTTTCAAGGTCCAGTTGAAATGTAATTCTGATGCTCTCTTAAATAATGATTTAACTCTATGTTGCTGGGTTTTCTAGTTTAGTTACTCTCATTTCTTATTGAGGCCTCTTAGGAGACCTTGTATGTTGGGGGGAAGGATGCTGTGGTCATGAGGGAGCTGAAGGTGTTGCAAAGGTCATGAAGACTATAAAGAAAGTGTGGAAAGGAAAAGAAGGTGTTACATGGCGAAAATCTGGGACATGGGATGTATGGTGAAGTTGTAGTTCTAGAAAAAGGATAGGGGCATACTGTAGGAAACTAAGCTTTTTAGGTGTGCTGATGAGGGGACAATTTATTCGTGTCTTCAAAGGACAAACATGTAATTAGTTAAGAACTGTTATTCAACATTAGGTACAGCCTAATGTGATAACAATAATGGACAAAATTCAGTGATCTCATATAACCCTTACAGTGATAATACGCTGCCAGTTATTAAGCATTACACTAGTTTATCTTACTCTTGTTTTCAGCCTCAGTGAAAAATACCAAGCAAAGTATTTTGGTATCGTTTCTAGTAATTACAGTTTGATGTAATTACTGTAGTTTTACTATACATTTATATATATTTATATATAGTTTTATATAGCTTAATGTAGTTTGTGATGGTGTGAAATTAAGATACTTATTTTCCCCTCCCTAGGGGACGACTGCTGGTTGGTACTTTCGTGGCCCTCTTTTTCAACCTATTTACAATGCTTTCCATTAGGAATAAGCCTTTTGCTTATGTCTCTGAAGGTATGTGATTAATTAAACCATAACAACAACTGAGATAAGATTTTAATGTTCGTATTTTTATTAAGATATAACTTGTCTGGTAACTTCCTTAACTAGGGGGCATATATTGCTATTACAACCTCATGCAGTTTAAAGTTGCCATCTGATTTTCAACTCTAGTTTGCTTATAAGGCTCTGAGTAGAATGTAGTCGTTAATATGATAAATTAAGGGTCATTTTAATGTTGAATTATCCTTTATTTTCAATCTTTTGGATTCAACCAGTGAAGGTCATCTGACAGATAGCAGAACTTGGAAGACATTTTATGGATATATTAATGGATAAAAATAATGTAATAATTCTTCTTAATAGCTCTTTTACATTTTTCATTGTGAGTTAGGCTTGCATTCAGTCCATCTAACTGTAAATTGTTTATAGTAATAATTATACATTATACTTTATCTTACACAAAAGATAATGGTTATAATCTGCAATTGTATTTGTATTTAATCAGTTCAGATTAAGATGGGCGTTTTACTTACTGCCTGGAAAAGTCAGAGTTTGTTTTTTTTCACATGCCAGTGAATCTACTGAGATACATTTACTACTTCACAGTGTATTTATTGGATTCTTTCCTTAAAATAAAATTTAGGTACTTTAAAATGGATACCTTTACTTGTAGTAACTTTATTACCCTCTTTCTTTTGCAGCTGCCAGCACAAGCTGGCTTCAGGAGCATGTAGCAGATCTAAGTAGAAGGTAAAGCTTTATACTGTTTTTCAAAATTGTTAGCTTCTGAAAGGCAATGTTGGTTTTGTGTATATAATAACAATTTGGATAGGTATTGAGGCATAAACTGTTGTATTAGAGCTTTTAAAATAGCTTTACCTACTCTAGGTTTAATGTATGAACTCTGGAGCAAACACTGTCTGCCATATTTCCCAGATACATCAATCTAACAGAAATACATCTTTCTGGATATCTTTCCTTTTGAATGTATGTGTTCAGTACATTGTATGTAATTCTCCTTGAATGAGACGAGGAAAACTAGCATTATCTTGTACATACTTGAACTGCATTTCTCAAAATTCATTACCTGAGTGATATATTTTGTAGTAATTTGTGTTTATTTACTGTGTGGGCTGGGCAAATGACTGAGATGGTTGAGTTTAAAAGTGATATGTGAAACAGGTTACTCACAGAAACATAGCTATGGAAACTCCTCATCTGTCCAGCAGGACACTGGAAAGTCTGTGTCTTCCAGGGACAGAAGCAGTATTGCTCATTCATCTTGTCTGTTAACTCTCTTGCTTGTACTGGATATCTGAACCATTGTTTGCATATAATTTTGTCAGATGTCAGAAAAGTTTATTTTAATCCATACACGTTCTTCCAAGTAGCTGTCAGTATCGAAATAAGAATGTTAAAGTATATTGTAAAACATGTTAACTACGCTTCAAAGTCCATCTGTTTCTGGGTGTTGTGATCTTTTTACAGTTGAGGAAAGCAGAGAACACTGACTTGTTAAACAGAATAATTGATATTATATGGGCATCAGAGCCAAATTCTGCAAAATAGCTTTGGAAGACTGATAATTGGGTTGCCCAAGTACCTGGAGTTTCAATATAAAAAAGAAAAAAAAAAGTTGGATAGAAATCACAGACAGTAGCAGAGTTTTTCTTTTATCAGTGTAGAAATATGGTGTGATGGGGAAGGACACTGATGGGTAACTTGAAGGGGTCCGAGATCAAAAGTGTAGAATTATTACAGGGTTTTGAGATAAGCTGTATACAATTATGCCAATAATAATAATTTAAAAAAAAAATTAGTATGTATACAGCAGCTGTTTCAGATGCCTCATGTGGAGCAGTGCTGATTACAAAATATCTGCACCTGTATATAATTATGTTGATTAAGATTCTTACTGGAGCAGGCCAGCACATGATGTCTAAACATAGGTTGGCTCTAAACAGAACAACAAGATGTTTCGTTTTGTCCCTGCCTTTAAATTTTCCATGACGTGACATGCAGTTGTATTAACTGGGAAGTACAGAACCTCCTTTCTCTCTTCATTCTCCCACTGATAGGAGGTAGCTATAAATAAGTAACTTTTCCCAGTGTTCCCTCATGGTATTTTTTGGTCTCCTCTTATTCAGCTAGCTGGTCTCCTTACTCTTTTCAGACTCCATGAATTAGTTAGCTTTGGCTTTAGAACACTTTTGCACAGTAAGGTGGCAGATGGGTTGTAGACTAGTGATATGCAAACCCCTCAAGACTTACATAAATGTAAGTCTTACAGTATCTGAACCTGTAAAGTACTTGTGTTGCATATGGCTGACACAGCCAGCTGAGTTACAAGAAAAAAAGAAACTGGCACAAGATGTGTATTTTAATGTGTAGAAAAACTGCATAAAGATTAGCATAATATAATGTTTTGTAGATGGGGAGATAGATTTAAGGCAAATTTTTTTTTAAGATGGAAGAGTCAAGTATTAAATATGGGAAAGAATATGACATGGATCTAAACTTGATTAATCTTTGCTGACAGCAGCCTTTAAGCAGAATTAGAAGGGCCTTTACAGTACTCATCATACACTGACAGCAAGGTGTGTTTGAAGTCAAATGCTGAAATAGTGGGTGTAACTTTTGGGTTTCCAAAATGATGAACAGCTGGCTGACAACTGCTTTTCCTGTTTTGTTACAGTATTTGTGGAATCATCCCAGGATTAAGTAGCATCTTTCTGCCACGGATGAACCCTTTTGTCTTGATTGATATTGCTGGAGCTCTAGCTCTTTGCATTACATATATGCTCATCGAAATCAAGTAGGTACAGTTGTTGTTTTTAAAAAGTAACTCTTTTTGTATCCAATCTGTGGGAAAATACATTTTTTACATGAAAGGAATGATCTCATCTAGAGCTGTGTTTTGTATGAATGGCATTGCAACTCCACAAATGCATTTGTCTATTTTCCAAGATGTATGGTTCAAATGAGATTAGTATGTGTAATATTCTATAACTGTATATAACTTAAAAGAATAAAAAAGAATCATAAGAAAGTTTTCCTGCCTTTCAAAAATGTAAATAGCGGTTTTTCTTTAAAATTGCTCTTTCTCTCTAGCAATTATTTTGCTGTAGACACAGCCTCTGCTATAGCAATCGCTTTGATGACATTTGGTACCATGTATCCCATGAGTGTCTACAGTGGGAAAGTACTACTCCAGGTAAGGCATTGTCACAAAACAATGGGTTTTGTGATTTCGGTTTTGTTAAATGTCCTCATTAACAAAAGCAAACAAACCTTAAAATCTGTTTTAAGCATGTGAATAGAAGTGTTCCCATGGAAATTTGTGATGTGCTATAAGAATTTTAAAGGCAGTGGAAATATGCATCATGAAGTCATAAGAATTTATTGTTTAATGCCATTGGTTTCTTGTGTAGGTAGACCGGACTTAAAGGCTCTCTTATTTAAACAGGGCCAACTAGTATTTATTATAACATTTTCTTTTTTTTTCCTCTTCTTTTTGAAGACAACCCCACCTCATGTGATTGGCCAGTTGGATAAACTTCTTAGAGAGGTAAGCCAGTGTATAATACATAGCACAGTGTGCACAGCTAACTAAGTAAGCATTCAAGAATGTGAAGAGTTTTTCCTAGTAGTCCAAGAAGATTGTTAAAAAATTATTTTTTTAATATTATTTTTTAGCTGCATGTAGAAAATATGAAACTTGCTTTCAAAGATGAATAGTGAAATTCAGGTATCTGGAACACATCTGTTCAAGTAGTGAAGTTGGTTTTTATTTAAATTTGAGCTACCACTGAAGTGGTTTACAAATGTGAGTTAGAGGAGGAAAAGGAGTACAGGCAGCTGTTGACTTACAGCATATTGAGTTGAGAACATACAGCAGTTTGTCAGCAAGAGTTACTTGAAATAAGTTCCTTAAATCTTTTTTTATTGGTTTGGATGTCGTCTGTTCTGTGTATAGAGCTTTTATTTCACTACTGAAAATTATGTATTATTCAGTTATGTTTGCATAAAAGTACATTTCTAAAGGGATTTGAAACTTATAATTTATTTTCATATTTCTGGATGTTTGTGCAAAATTAGGTTTCAACTTTGGATGGTGTGCTGGAAGTTCGAAATGAGCATTTTTGGACATTAGGTTTTGGCACTTTGGTAAGTCATGTCTAATATCTTTTTAACCTTTAAAAAAAAAGTCATCAGTTACTACTTTAAACTTTTTATTTAAATAAAGATATTTCTTCTAAAATCTTAACTATAAAAAAATTGATGGAGTCAGTATGCAGTCCTTGTGCTTTATTGCAAAACTTCTCTTCCCCTGCCCTTTATATTTTTCAAAAGCCTTGCTATTGGGTAATATTATTAATGTATACTGCAGTTCTGGATTAAAGTATGCATTTTGCAACTATAGAATTCTTTTGTATTTTGGCAAAAATCCCAAACAACAGCAAAAACATTTTTCAAATGGTGTGTTAGTGTAAATGTCTAGGAAAAGAGAAGAAAACTGTAACCCTTCAGGTACTAAAAGTCTACAGTAGACAGTAGAATTGTATTTTTTCAGCATTTCTAGGGGAGAAGGTAGAACAAAACAACTAGAGATATGTACCAATAAAAAAAAAAAGAAGGGTTTTTTGGTTTGGTTTGGGTTTTTTTGGTGTGTTTTTTGTTTGCTTGGGTTTTTTGTTTGGTTTGGTTTTGATTTGGTTTTTTGGTTTGGTTTTTTGGTTTTTGGGGTTTTTTTGTTTGTTTGGGTTTTTTGGGTTTTTTTGCTGATACAGAATGATCACACAGAACTTGATTATTCATAAGTTGATGCAGGGATGTTGTGACAGCTGGAAAATTAATACTCTTAGGATATTTCTCTACTTCTGAATTCTTCCAGTATGCTACCCTTCTTAAAAAAAGAAAAAGCCTGCAGTTCCTACTTGCTGATGTGAAAATAGCTTTCAGTTTACTATTCTGTCACCCAAAATACTGGATCACAGCATTGTTGGATCGATGACAGATATTTACAAGAACTTTGTGTGCATATTTAGCTATTAGCATCTTCCAGATTGTAGTAGAAACCTCCTGAGACCTGGATATGTTTTCAGCTGCACCATCTGATGTAAAAATGGCTTGTACGGCACAAACCGTGAACCATGTTCTTTATTAAATATGTGCTGAAAAAGCATGTGAGGGGTTCTGTGTTGTGTCCTGCTCTCTTCTGCAGCAGTAGATCAAGGTCAATAAGATAATGTTACTAAGAGGAAGGTAGGGGGAGCCTGCAGTTACATGCACATCCAGGGAAAGCTCTAGGCCTGAGCTCCACACAGCCATTGCCTCTGTTCTTGCTAATGGTCCCCATTTGAGCCTGTTTGCCATGCACATTGTCCTCTTGCCTGCTCCAATAACACAGTGATGACACTTTTGCCTCAATTTGGCATATGAAGTTTGTCTGCGCTTTGTTCTTCTTTTGAGCCATTTTTTCTCCCCAGCTGTTGTCTTTCCTGCTATCACATGTTGTATTGTATAGTTTGGTTTTAAGACTCACTTTTCTCAAATTATGATCTTGATATGCTCATAAGAGATCGAAGCATTAGGAAAGATCAAAATGTATCATAGTTATGGAAGTATGTATTAAAGTTCTTAATTTAGTCAGTGGTCTCCACTGCAGAAGGTCTTGCCATAATTCTCTGCAGGATAACTTACCTCTTCTTGATGCATAGAGAGAACCTTTATTGAAGTAACAGTTAACAGCCAACTTATTTTTGTCACTTTCTAGGCTGGATCAGTACATGTCCGAATTCGGAGAGATGCAAATGAACAAATGGTACTTGCTCATGTCACTAACAGATTGTACACATTGGTCTCTACTTTGACTGTTCAGATTTTCAAAGATGACTGGATCAGACCTACCTTATCATCTGTGCCTATTGCAAACAATATTCTGAACCTTTCGGATCATCATGTTATTCCAATGCCATCTTTGAAAGCTGTTGATAATTTGAACCCTGTTACATCCACTCCAGCTAAACCCAGCAGCCCACCGCCAGAATTTTCTTTTAACACGCCAGGCAAAAATGTGAGTCCAGTCATCCTTTTAAACACTCAGACAAAGCCCTATGGATTGGGCTTTAATCATGGATCGACACCCTACAGCAGTGTACTCAATCAAGGACTTGGAATACCGGGGATGGGAGCAGCTCAAGGATTCAGGACTGGTTTTACAAATGTCCCAAGCAGATATGGAACAAATGCTCGTGGTCAGCCCCGACCATAATAAACACCATTATTTATTGTACTTAAGGGTATTGACTTAATTCTTTTATTACCCAATTTTTATAAGCATTTGGAATGTCAGATCATTCTAAATGGCTGGGAACAAGTGCATTGTTCATATTCATGAAATGGTTAAATTGCAACTTTTTTCTTTGCATCAGCCTGTGTAATGCCACAGATATTTTTCAGACTTATGATACTTTACAAGTAGTTTTTATAGAGTGTCTCTTTCTACTCATCTTTTTATCCACTTTTCTTCATTCGTCCAAGAATGTATTGAGACATAGCACAACTCCATAAGAGAGTAGAATTGTGACCAGGTAGCATTTTTTTTCTAATGCAAATTGCTTACAGAAATACAAGTCCCAATTTTCAGAGATGTTTTGATTGCTTTATTAAGCCATCTTTTGGCAAAGTCACAATTAGTTTTTGGTTGCAGAAATCCATCAGTATTTGTATTGTGGCCATTGTGAAGACAATCTGGCATTTCAGATTGTAATTAATTTTGTGAGACCATGTTTTTACATTTTTATTGATGCCTTTATAGAAATTCAGATGGTTCAGCAACCATTTTCTAGTTGTAAGTATTTCATATTCATCTCTGATATTTCTTCCTTTTTGGTTTAACTGCAAAATTATCTAGCAATATACTGGGAAATAAAATATTTAAAACCTAAAAGATTTTACAAGCACCTCTTTTTTACAATTAACCCTATTTAGGATACAGAGCAGATGACTGTATTGTTTCTGAAGCCAGTATTTAATTTTTGACTATGGAAAGTATTCTGTGATTTGATTGTGACTTTGTATTTTTCTTCTTTGTATTTTTCCTGTAGTTTCAGGGGGAGAATATATATATTCCTGGTTTATATCCAGAGTGCAGATTGGTGATCGCTGACAGTTCTTAGTCACTGCTGGAGTGCTTGACCTTTGGGGCACACTTGGAACAAGACCACTTACCTTGTCTCTGCTTTTGCATTACTGTTCTGCTGTACATCTAGATGGCCATATTTCTTCAGGGCCTTTCTCAGATAGCTCTTTCCTCTGACTGTTTTCTTTTTCTTCACTGCTCTGACAACAAACAAAGAAAGGCCTTTTAGAAATACTTCAATTTTTTCTGTTCTCCTGTGTGGTATCTGTCTTATAATTGCTCCTCTGCACATTCTTCTGCATCTCTTGGCTGTTGAGGAATGGGTTGCCCATTCCTGTTGTTTCACTTGCAACTCAGGGTGCTATATATTGGCTTACACCTTGTTCATTTGTATACTAAGTGGTCTCTCCATTTGTCTGAGGTGGTTACATGGAGCTGTAGTATCTCAGGGATTCCAAAGATATTATGTTACCTGAAGATAATGGCTTTGATAAAGAAATCGTTCTCTTGTACAACTGAGTGGAGAAAACAGTCTTCATTTGAATTTTAAAGATCTCTGGCCTCTTCACACTGGCTGAGGATTTCTTTTTCTGCATAAGAACACTGCATTCCTCTTTTTTTTTTTCCCTCCCTCTCCATTACCTGTGTTTCTCCAGCCAGTGCATGGAGAAGGGTGTCATTCCTGCAAACTCGTGTAAAAGCAAGGTGACATTCTGCATTATGGTATCTTGTGGGGATATTTTAGACTGGGAGTAATATCCAGGCTGCTACTGGGATACAATCCATGTAAGTTACAAGTAGGGAATCTAGTTCTGTACTTCATTTGCAGCGAGAATGACAATTTCATTGCTGTTTTAGAAAATGTAAAGACCTGGAAAACTTGCATTTAAAGATTACAATGAACTTATAAAGATTGGCTCTGTTTTCAAGAGGTCAGTATTAACTCAGTAATCACCTCTGTTTCGTTACCCTGTCTTTCTGTGTGATCTATTACACATGCCATTGCTGCATGGAAATTCCTGAAGTACAGAACACTTGAACAGATTCTCTGTACCTCTTGGGTGCTGAACTAGACTGCACTTTCTACAGCACCTGCAACACCTTAGAGCCAGCAGAATGTTTACAATATACTACTTTTGTGTGGCCTATTTGAGAATTGTTCCTTACTCCAGTTTCATAACCAAACACGCGCCCTTTTTCTGACATTTTCAATACATTGTATTATATTGATTGCATGCCTACTTGTTTTTAGTAGAAAATTAAAGCTCCATTTTATGAAGCTGATCTTTTATTTAAAATCAGACGGGAGGACGAGAATCCCAGAATTCTGAGTGCAATATAATCACTTTAACAAAAATATTTTTCAGAGTGATTGTTTACAGTATATATCACATGTGCAGATGATAAAGATTCTTTTAGAGATTAGAATAGCTTTTTAGCTGTGTTATTGTTGTGAATATATTAAGAATATTTGTTAAATCAGCACAGAGTAAAATGTCTCCTTTTATATGAGGAAAATAAAATCAGTGTAATTCTTAAATGACAAGGAAAAAGTGGTAATTTGTGTACAAGATTTTATAGTTATCTTTTTATATATATTGATTGTTTAAGTGATGCGCTCGGGTGATACATCAATCTCAATGAGCAGATGTGTCAAACTTCAGAACTGTTTTGATGGATCTGCTACCAATGTTCACTGGGTCCTTGGAATAATTCTACAGACAGTATTTTTACTGCATTTTGTCTTTAACTGTATTTTGCTCTTAGGTAGTCACAATCTAAATGTTTATTTGCTATATAGCAAATAAGAATTGTGAATTTATATCATCTTCATTCCTAATGATAGGAATACTGCCCCAGCTAGAGAGAAAAGAGGACTGGTACTTGCTGTCATTTCTATCTGCCAGAGAATTTGACATCATTATTCCCTTAAGTTTTTTCAACTTGACTGAACAGAAAAATTTCACTTTTAGGTAAATGCATCAATTAGAGAGTTTGAGGGGCATGTACCGTTATTTAGACTTCAGATTCTTGTGAGCAACTGTGCTGTCCTGATACAAAAAGAGCCAGAGCGCCTATTACAATATAAATAGCTAACATAATATGGGTTTTTTTGCAGCTTTACATGTTGAGTTTTGACTCCTGAGTTCATTCGGTTCTGCATTCCCTTTACGCAGATAATAACCACATATACCTTTGGGAGGACAAAGCCAGTGACAGCGTCTTGTGGATGGTAGACTGATGATTTTTATTCCCCTCCCCTTGACTGAGATGTGACAAATCCTATTCAAGGAGAGAACCTGTGCAGCAATTCTGCTCATTAGATTAGTTGAGGTCGCTCTTTTGATTTCTGTCCCCTGCTGCCACCATCCAACAGAGACAGAAACTATGCGGGGATAGGTTCTTCAGTATAAAGCCTCTGTCTGAATTCTGAATTGATTATCTGTCCTGTGCTTGTCCAGACCTTATGGATCTGGATACTTGGTCATATTCAGTGTTGAAACTGAGAGTAGAAGAGATACCAGTCCTGGTCTTTTCACTTCTATTTTTTGTTTTCTGGGCATTTTATCAAATGGCTTTGACTTTCTCCTACCTGCTTGTTCTTCCCTGCCTTAGTAACCACGAGAACCCACCTTGCACCATGTCTTTGCTTTACTGACTACTTCAGGTTCTTGTGCTTTTGCGAGTTTAGATTCTTGGATTCACATGGTTACTGGGCTGATATAAATTTTCCTTCCAACAATTATTTTTTAAATGAATGACAGAACATATAAATTATTAAGATGATAATCCTCCCCTCTTTAAACATCCAGTTAGGAGATGCCCCTCTTTTCCTGTACCAAAAAGAACCAACCCCAAAACCCAAGGTGGAGGGTGGGGGGAAAAGAAAGCTTTTTCATGTTTTCTTCACATTTTGAGAAACATGGATTCATATTTCACCAAACTGTGTCTCATTTCTTTGAACTGAGTAAATTTGCTGTACTACAAGGTTAAGTTACGGTTTCAACTCAGTCTTAACAGAGATTTTTTTAAAAAAATAGCTTTTCCCAGTTATAACAACCCTCTGATCCAGCATTTCATAATGAAGCCTATTTTAAGGTAACTTTCAAATTCTTGAAGAAGCAGAGCAGCAGTGCACACTGCAAATGTGTACTGCATTTTTCAGAGGCCCTGTAAAGTATAAAGTACCACAGAAGTTCACCAGAATAAATCATCCACACAAACTCATGTTTAATATTGCTGTATATAGCCATTCTCTTACCTTTTTTCACCATGTAGGAGGGTGAAGAGGGTGCCTTACACCGCTCAGAGTATTCAAACTTTAGAAGATTTAATTTTGCTTGTTAAACTATTTTCTCATGGGCTGCAGTAGAGGAGAATATGATTGCAAGGAGTTCAGATAGCTTTGATATATTTGCACAGATGTACAGTAATACCTGAAAATAAACACATCTGTCCAGCTTTTTAGAATTTTCATTGTATTCTGTTTCAGAACTTGCATGCAAAACAAACATTTCTCACAAATGTTAAAGTGATGGGAAAACATAAAATGCGTTTGTTCCATCTTGAGCAACCAAAATCAGATGGAATTTAATTTTCAGGCTATCACTAATACTAAAATTTTACAAATTTTCGTTGCCATAAATGTATATTTCTGTTACAACTTTAAAATATGGATTTAAATATTGTCTTAGGCTCAGAAATGTTTGCTTTAGGAAAATGGTAAAATACAGGCCAAATCTGACATCCTGATGTAAGTCCCCATGGCTTATCTCCTTTTTAAATCTCTTTGCTCAGAATAGAACTTCCTAAGGGAAGAAGTTCAGAGGAGTAAAATACTGACTTGTTTTCTCTCAGTTCATCTTCCACCAGCTTGATATTTTTATTTTTTTCTTCAAATGCTCTTATCTTTTTCTCACCAGTGGAAACCATAATTCTGTGAGTAGCTTCTGAATACTGTTCTTCTGGCTTCCATTGATTTCATTACAGGCTTTCTTTTTGCTAGTGTTACACTAAATTTATTGAATAATTCCACTAAGGAATGTAAAAACACAGGGTTGCTAAATTGGTGAGTATCTTTTTGGTGCCTAAACTACCGTTTTGCTTCTAAGTAATTTTATTTTTGATAGCACTTTGCCTTTAAAATGGTATTTAGATAAAATGATTGTTTCTAAAGTGATCATTTGCCTAGTATGATTATTTCTGTTGTGGTTTGTATTAAAAATGGCGGGTGGGTGGGGGGTTTGGGGGTTTTTTGGGTCAAATTATGAATGATTCTCATGTGATTGAATGGTGTGTGCTGAGGCATTGTTCCCACACACCACCTGATCTCTTTATATCTCCTGTGTTGCAGTCAAAGCACAATGGAACCCCCCCCATACCTTCCTGTTACCATCACTCCTCACCACCATTCTCCCTCAAAAAGTATCCAACAAACAATTTGAGTATTACTCTGTTTACTGGTGGCCTGCTGTCTGCAGAGCCCTTGTTGCCCTCTTCGTAGGGGAAGGAGGAGAGGGAGCAGAGAGACTTAAAAATCACATCCCATTTCAGGATGAGGTGATTTAGTTCAACCCAAAATAGAAGTCTGTTTTAGAGCATCTTTTGATAATGTGGCATACATTTCCATTGCCGAACATCGCAAAAGTTGGTCATGCCTTGTAAAAACTGTATCCAACACTTAAGTTGGCAGGCATCCCTTCCTGGGATCATAATATGTGACAAAAACCAGTGATAACAATCTGGAAGAAATTCTGGGTTATTTTTTATTCAGAGGGAAGACATGGAAAGATCAAATTCTTTCCAGGCTGAACTAGTTCTTATTTAATGCTCTCTTATTTGGGTACATGGAACATTGGGCCAGGAACAGCTGAATCAATAATCAGTCTAGCAAGATCTATCTTATTTTGCTTTGCTTTACTGCTCTCCAGTTCAATTAAATAGCAAATGTGAAGGTGGGCAAACAGTATTTAAAATGGAGTACAATTTGTTGATGTTTTGTCTATCACAGGTTGAGATATTCCAGTACAAACACTTGTAGGATTTTGTTGAGATTGTCGATAGTGGTTTTGTCAAGGTTTTCTTCTGTGTCCTCCATGGTATGCCATACTGCAGGAAAAGGGGATGGAATCAGATGTAGGACTGGAACTCCTATAAAAAGAAAAGTGAAATTTGGAGAAGAAATATTGGAGAAGTTCTGTTAAGCCAACTGATATGTCGCCATTTAGCAACAGAGTCAGGTAACTACTTAATAAACTTGCTTTATAGGGTGTGTCACTGCAGCTTCCTTTTATCTTGTCTTATTTTGAAGCTTGTGACTGCATCCTGTCATTAAATTGTGTGTTCCCCAAAACTGTCACCTTCCTTTCCTTTGAGTACTTTTGCCTCCTTTTATTTTTAAGGCACCTGTAGTTACCTGTTGGGGTTTTTGTTTGAGATTCCTTTCATTGTAGAATGTTTAGGAGCCACAGAAGGGCAGAGAAACGACTGCAGCTCCTCAAACTGAAAACTGATTACCATGACAAATGATTGAGCATTTTAGAAGCATTTTTTTTAGTTCTCTCCATAAATGGTAAAGTAGGGTCTCTTATTTTTGCTCTGTAAAATAGAACCACTGTTATCTTCAGATAAGGAACTTCCACTTGAAAGGATTATACCACTGTATACATTATATATATATTATATATATATATATATATATATATGCATCAAGCCACCTATACATACTGCAGCTTATAGATAAAAGAGGAATTAAATCAGACTTCTGCTTCCTGATCACTTTTGAGAGAGGAACACTTTTTTTCTCCAGCCTTTTTCCTATTTTACTGCTTTTCCTCTAATTTTTCAACTGTGTACCCTTAAGGAATCCATTTTCCTCACTGGGTGTTGTGTTATTAGAAAAGATAAGGTGTAGTCATTGTTTTCCCCTATCAGTTTCTCCCATGTAGGATTTTTTATATCCCTGGACACACATAGGATGGCTGTGTTGGATTTGTTGGACCTGGACCCTGTCTTGATGTGAAAAATGAAAGATTTGTGGAGTTGGAGAGCCACTGAGCAGCAGACAGTAAGCTCAACTCAGTGAAGAGAGCACTCACTTAGAAGTGGAGAGGTGTGGCTGCCCTTGTGCCTGCTTCCAGAGCTGTGTGCACATTTTATGTTATTCAGTAGTTAACAGAGCATAAGCAGTGGTAAAATTAGGGGCTGGATATGAAGATACCTCCCTCCTTTCCTAGGGAGACACCCTCTTCACTGAACTTGTGTCGCATTCCTTTCTGGTCAACCCTTCTCTAGCAATATGACTCTTGCAGTCCTTGCTGTACAGTAGAAAGCTTCAATCAGAAGAGTTTCACTAATCTACTACCCTTATTTGCCCCACCTTCGTTTTGAAGATGCTTTGCTGAGTGCTTAAACTAAGAAGGACATGAAATACACTTTTCAAACTTGGACAAGTGCTTTAATTATTGACCTGTAGCTTGACAAGTGAGAAGCAGTATGACAACTGCTTTCCCTTTCTTTGATCAAATCCCAAAGGAAAAGAATGAACACAGAGCCAGAGGCTATGACCCAGGTGTCTGCCAGAAGATGCTTAGATTGGGGATTACAGTTTCAGGTATCTGCCTAATTCCAGAAGGGATTTCAGGCATAGTGTGTCCTTTGGTATTTCTGTGGACTACTGTCTGCACTTTTCCCATCCTCAAGGTGACAGCTATGAAATCTCCATTCTTTTTAGGGAACGAGGATATCTAATTTGAAAATTTGCAGGAGTCTTAAGTCTTTAACTTTAAACACTGTCTTTAAACAAGTAGTGACGTTATTGTAACTTTGACAACAGATCTTTAAAAATTTGTGTAGTTTTTAGAGACATAACCTTAAGTGTTTCACTGCTCCTAGAATAGTAACTAGCTGACTAGTGTGGTATGTAGTGATATCCCGCTGGATCAGGGTCACTTATCTTTGTAGGACACTACTGCTGACAGAAATTTCCATTCTCTCCATACCATTGAAGCTGTGTTCCCGCAAAGTTATGATGGGTGTGTTTTATTGCTGCTTTTTTTTGGGTATGTTTTTCAAAGTTGTAAAGTTGGATTCAGAAGCCTCAAGTTGGGGCAAATAAGCTTGAAAAACAGGATCATATGCACTTGCTCATTCAGTAAATTGATGTGTTTCTTGCCGAACATATACTTTAAAATAAAAGAACCTCCGGTACCTCTTAATAAAAATGGAATGTGGTCATCTTCAACCATGCCTCGATGTAAAGTACTGTGGAAATACTGTCCTTCAACAAGGTGATTCTTCAACAGATTCATGTTGTGTAGCTTTTGCTCTGTAATGCATAAGGACAGCGAGGCATGTTAGCACATTTGAATTGTTTTTCCTGTCACAATGAAGCTTTTTCCATCAAAGAAGAAAAAGGAGTTGCTGACTGTCTTTTGTGTTTGTTTAGTACTTAGAAGACCTCAAGACTGGTGCTATTACCATCATTTTACAGAAGTGAATACTAAAACACAGAAGTGAAGCAGTTCCCAAGAGTCACAGAGTGACAATCAGTAATGGACTCTGTTTTGTGGCTTCCAAGTGTCTGCGAGTCTTCCTCAGTTGTTTTATTAATTAAATATCAAAATCTTCATATAGGTTTAAGATAAATGAAATTTAATGTTTACATTAGTAAATATTATGACTGTAAACCAGAAAAATTTATCTAAAAAATCTGATTTCCAGAACTTAATAAACTTAGAAACTACACACTACATTTTGAAATTCATCCAAAGCCCATATCCCCCTGCTTACCAATTGCTTGAAGCCTCTGAAACCATCGAGTAGTGTTTGGAAAATAATTGGGAAAGACTGGGTTTGGTGCACCAATTAAATCCAGTAGTACAAGCAGGTCCTACAGAAGAAAGAATCTTTAATATAGAAATCTTTACTACAACACCACCAACAGCAATGAGCTTCTTGGTTCCTGTATAGGTCATGACCAGGTCTTTGCTAGCTCTGGCTAAACGTCTGGCTTTTCTACCATGGTGCCTGAGAAGAATTTATTAGCAGAACATTATTCCAAACTGGCACATTTTGCTGTCTTTCTAAGGAGGGAAAAAGTAGGCTATTTCTCTGTTCCTCCAGCTGAAGCAGGCTGCCTTGCTTTGTTTGCGGTTTGTGTGTTATATCCCTTTAAAAGAAAAACTATGGTAGGTGGGGAGAAAGAAGAGGAAATTGCTTCTTCCCCTGAGAACAACAAAGTCTGTCAAGGGAAAGCCATTTTATGAGTCATAAGAAGCAGTGACAGAAGTGCCTCAGCAGTGAGTAGGGAATGTAGAAAGGAACAGACAACCAGAATGTTAGTAGGAATCAAAGAGAAACAGAGATTGCTGTAACTTAGTACTGAGCTAGGGGAGATGTGTTCATAGGCCAATACCATGTGCTCTTTCCTTATCACTTTGAATAATCTTTCCTGAAGAAGGTGGGTATCCTAGTTTACATTCTAATACATTTGTGTATTTTGATTTTTCTATGACTGCTCCTTATACTTTCATGGGCAGGTCTAAGCAGATTCATCTGAAAAGCTCTTGCCAACTCTGTATTTTATCATATCTCATAAGCCTGCTTCTTCCTTTAACTTTGGTGTGTTCATGGTTTCTTGGGAATTTGGCCAATTACCTACACATTAAATATTTTAAAAAAATGCAATTTACTATTATTCATTAAGGAGGTGAAAGCCACTTACTATGCCCTGCAGCTGGTTTGTGGTTGAACCAGGTGGATGTGGAGTAGATACCATTTTTTGAGCTAAGTGTTTAGATCCATAGAGGGAATCGGAAGGGGACCACCGGACAAAGGCTTCTTCACCATCAAAAAAAATGAGCTGAAGTGAAAGGTCTGGTCTTGAAGTTGAGCTGGTCTGTTGGAGGAATTTAGAAGTAAAATAATTAGCCAGAACATTAAATAAAGGACAAATGCTGTAGCCATATAAGCAACAGTAAGGGTGTATTTTCAAGGTCCCTGATGCAAACCTTCCTTTGGCTGTTACACACATTGTGGTGTAATAATGGTAGCGATTTATGTAGCATGGTGACACATTCTACAGTCTTGTATCATTTTGGTTCTGGTTAAAAGTTTCATTTCTGACTTTAGCAGACATGAGCCAAGTGTTGAGACAGGTCTGCAAAACTAGGTTGCAGAAACAGTATCTCAAATAAGGAGGAGACATGTCAGTAACAACACCGGATGGAGTGCTGATATTATTACTTGATTGTGCCACAAGGATTAATATAATTGCTACAGCTGTGCATCAGTGGAGGAGAATTATGTATTTGTGGAGTTGGTGGTTCTTTGAGGGACAAAGAGCCATTTTTCATTCATGAAAAGAATGACTATTTCTTTTTTTTCAGGGGAACGTGTAATCACTGAGGCAACTTTACCCTAAAACCAAAGCAGAGAGAGTGGAGTAGATATGCCCTTCCCTTTCAACAACCAAAAATATCACAGCACTAAAAACTGAGGATATATATGATAAATGTATTTAAGGTCACAAAAGAGACATCTCTGTGAAATTTCTTTCCCATGTCCCCTTCTCTCTCTGTCTACTATATGAAGCCTTGTTTGAACTGTAAGCATTTCCTACTAATCTACAACATGGCTAAACCCAGTCAGGTTCCACTAAATGAACAGTTTTGGGAACTGTAGTCTTCGCAGTTGCTATAAATATTTTAACCCCTCTGAATTAACACTACTTCAAGTGAAATTGCATGATGTGGTTAAAAAGGTGGAGTCACTGGCAGCAGTCATGTCCTGTATGGGCTACAACTCCCAACTGGCTGGAGCTGATCCAATATAAACAGTAGTGGAAAACTTCTCTAAAATGTCGCTCACACAGGCAAGATTATATTGATTATGCTTACAGTGATATATTGATTACTGGCAGTGGTTTGCTGCCCTTTATCCTTTGCACAGGACAGAGGTCTTTCGACAGCAGTCATTTTGCATTATGTTTTGGAGGAAACTTTATCAATGCCATTTGAGTTTTAGAAAGTAGTATTTGTGTTATTATTGCTGTTTAACACATTTTAATAACATAGAGAGATGTCTTTGCCTATTAATATTAAACTTACTGTATATAACTGGAGAAACATCAAACTAAAAAGCACAGCTTCAAATCAAAGTAGATGAAAACATAACAAAGTCTGTTGTGCTACCATGAGTAGAGCAAAAAGGTCATAGCTAATGTATTAAGCAGATGAATCCTAAAGTATATTTTTAACAGACTGTACAAATGGTAGCCTGTGCAAAGTAATTAATTGCCCTTTTGTCAAATGCTGTCATCTTACATGAAATACATAAAACAATTTTCATTGTAACGTGATGCATTACTAGTGAAAAATGCCAGTCTTGAAAGTCAGTGTGCAAGCTGTTCTATAAATAAGCATCAGGCAAATTTATTTGAATGAAGCTTCCAAATGAAAGCATATGTATTACAGGAGTGTTTTGTTTTGTGATTAAAAATATTGGCATATTCCTAATCTTCTCATTCTTACATATTTGCATGTCAGAAGGCATCAAATCAGTTTCTGGAAAGTATTGTTGACAAGTAATTGTAATACCTGAGCTGAGTGTATTCCTGACACTCTGTAAAGTGTCCCTCACATTTGAGAGACCTTTTCCTGTGAAAAATCTGTAAGTGTATGAAAATTATTTTTTGTGAATAGTGAATACTGAACCAGTAGATGGCACTCCTGAATCTGTAATCCTACAGATTTGTAATCCTACAAGCTTTTAGAGTTTGTGGGCTCAACAGATTTTTATGCCTAGCTATTGCAGCACTTTGAAGCAGATTTTCATAGCATAGGTAACAACAGACTGATAACGTTACACTTGTTTCATAAATAAACTATTCAAATTGTGATACAGGAAGAAAAGCTTAAAATCCTTATGGGATGGAGGGACATGAGTGTCACTCTCCTGCACAGCAATTAGTTCATCTGTGTCCCAAAGCAGAATTCAATTGAGAAATTTTAAAAAAGCTAGATTTGGAATGCAACAAAACTTTGTCAGTGCCCCTAGATGTTATTGGATACAATAGGAACTTCTGAATAGGGTTCTGTGCGTGTTAGCTTGAAAGTAGCAAGTCTATGAAGCATGTATTATTGATGTAAAATTTGTTATTTTTATAAAGTATATGTTTATTATATATACAGATCTCTGTTCTTCTTGAAGTCAATGGGAGTTTTATCACAGGCACAACAATTGGAGAACCAGGCATGCAGGCCGCAGAAAGAATGTGGAAGTGCCCTAAGTCCTGTTGCTGTTGCAAAAGCAAATGCAAAAGAAACAAGTACACTACCTCGATTAACTGAAGCTTGTTATCCAGAGCACGTGCCAACTCCAATATCATAGCACAGGGCACGGCTGAATCAGTTGCTCCTACAAACACTCTCTCCTGCCATTGTTGTCCAAAGAATTTTGAGTCGTAGTGGCAAGCAAGTACTAAATGGCGTTTTGCAGAGGGGTCAAGAGTGCTGATAATATTTGAAAATGTTTGATATCCATATGGTGTGTATCTCTGAAATGTATCTTCTTCAATTTCCCAACCAGCCTTTAATCTTTGAAGACGGTGCTTGATATGCTGCAATTATAAAAGATAATCAGATCAATATTGCTTGCTTCAGAAAGATGTTGCAGACAAATTGTCATTACCTAATTAAAAGTGACCCTTAAGCTTATTTCTGTAAGTTCATTATATTTCTAAAGGATAAATTTTATAGCAAAAAATGTAATGTCACTGTATAAAATAAGTGACAGCTTTGCTACCTTAGCCTTTGAGTAGCTCATTTGCTTTTCATTTCTCCCTTTTGACTCCTGTCTTCGGAGCCTGAAGTTGTTTGAATTATGGCCCATTAATATGAAACATTAAGATCTTGATCTCTGAAGTTTCCAGGCCAGTGTTTTTTTCATGTGTAACTAGAGCAGATTTAATGTTTACCTCTTCAAATCTAAACTCATTTGTGCCCTTAAAACTCAGAATTGGCTGCAGAGACCTTGGTGTGGCTATTTTGACAATTACCACACAGAGACGCCACGGCATAATAATAAAAAAATGCTCTTTGGTTTGGTTGGTTGATGTGAGGTGGGGGGGGGGTTTTAGCTTCTTTGAGCAATCTGCCTTTCAAGTGACCTAAGTTGTTTAAAAGGCTATAAGAGATGATTCCTTTAAATTAAAGAAAGAATTAAATGTTTCAGAACAACATTTTAAAAATCAAATCCTCTAAGTGTAGCTCATGTAAAGATAAGAATTAAGACAGTAAAAGAGATAATTTATTTTAGTTATCTTCCTACTAAAGACAATACCTCTAACAGCCCCAGTTGTACTTCATGCAGAGTTCTGGCTAACTCTTATTAAGAGGGACATCTCTGTTTCTCTGTTGAGCAACTTATTTTTATGGGTCCCTAGAGTGCTTCTTCAAGGCAGATTCCTCTTTCTTTAAGTAAACATTAGGAAAAGCCTCTAAGGGGAAAATAAACTTTGAAGACTTGTTCTGCTCTTAGTGAACTCAGTGGGAATATTGCTGTGTATTTTAGTGCTAGAACAAACTTCCATTTTGTTTGTGGTCACCCACTGAAAGCTTTTATGGCATTGTATGGTCTATCAGCTATCAGTAGGCAGAGCAAAGGATGTCTGTTATGGATTAATGGGAATATATAAGCGTGGATGGAGTTTCCAGTGTCCAGCAGCCATAGTTGGCACTAGCCTTTTCCCCTGAAGGAGTCTGATGCTTTTTCTGTGTCTCAACAAAGAAGTGTCATCCATTTCAAACTCCATTGTGCTTCAACAATGGGAGACTCTTCTTTTTTTCCTTTGATGGGGGTCTAATTTGATACATGCTGTTACCTTCTAACAGGATGATTCTATTTTGAATGTGATTCGTGGTTTTCTAGCCCAGGCTCAGCTATTTTTTTGTTTTTCTTCCTTTTCCCCTTTCGATTTGGCTGCCTTCCAGAGTATCACTAAAGAAACCACGAAACTAAATCTATAGAGATATGTGCCCTCACACACACACACAAAACATAAAAAGGCTGCATTTTTGCAGTCTACCATTTGCAGAGTGGCAAATAAATTTATGGTAGTTAGAGCTGTCTTAGAGCTGTTGACTCACTGCGTAAAGGGTGGATGAAGGCTAGTGAGATGTTGTGAATGTCTTCTAGCAAACTCAGCTTACCATTGTTTGTCTCCTGCTTGGTTAATGCAATCCAGAGCCAGCATGGCACACTGTCCTGAAGATGCCCATGCTGTGAGCACAGAGCAGAGGTGCTGACCGGGCAGCAACCCAATTGTGTGGCAACTCCTTGTGGCTCAAAGACAGTGTGCTGGAGCCTTTACTGGCTTGGGGTCAGCTGCAATCTGGGCATGTTAGCCCAGCATTAGCACACTGCTGTGCTTGGGCCAGTGGAGTGAGCATGGTATGTGGACCAATGCTGCACTTTGTTGTGCTGGCCATTTCATCTGCCTGCCCATTTGGGCCCCTCTGATCCCTTTTGTTGTTGATACATCCATCTGAAGGAACACTTCAGAGGACTGTAACAGCACAGGACCCCTCTGGATAAAGGTGTGTGTGTATGTATGTATTTTATCCTCATGCATGGTCTCAGAGGATTTGAACCACTGACCAAAAACTTGCTCATGTGAGGGAAAGGGCAATGGTTGTGTTGAACTTTGGATACCAAACCTGAGGCAAACTTTTTAATTTAAAAAAAAAAAAAGTAAAATTTTTCGTCATGCTATGCAGCCCTGGGAAATAATGTCAGCTAAAGTGCAAGCTGTGTCATGTAGGCTCTGTGCAGTCTAGACTTGAACAATGATAGAGTTCATCCTACTGAATGAAAGGAATGTGACTGTCCCTTTAGTGGTCACCAAAGGCATTACCAGAATATAAATACTAGATGTTCTTAGAGGTTTTCAGGAAGTGTTGTCTTACCTGTCGTACGAAATAATTTCCCGGTGATCCTGGGTATCTTTCTATCAGGATAGGGCGCAAATCGTTCTGCCACATTTCAGAAATATCTGTGTTTGCCACAACTTTTTGAATAGCATCAGAACCTAAAATTCTTGGTTGGTGAGAATACTGTAGAAGGCAGAGAAAAGGAAGACTGCTATAACTATTAATAGATCTTTTTAATCATAGTTTTCTTCAAAATTACAGTAAATATTATATATTGTGCTAGTTTGATTTACTCACAACAAAAAGTAATTTTAAAAAGTTATCACTCTGAAATTATTTGCTCTGTATCTTTTATTTCCAGGAAAATATACTAATATTAAAAATATGTGAGTAAGTTCTACATACTAGCTAGCTGTAAAACCTCAACCCATGAATGGGTTCTCTGTTTCCTAATATCTTAATTCTACATACATACAGTCATGTCTGCAACCATGCCACCTTCAGCTGAAGTTTCTTTTGAGACAAACACCAGAAGCTTTGTTTCTAGTGGTAATAATGTTTAGCTTTATGCTGTGTCTATGTTATGAGGTGCAGTACTGCAAAGAAATGCATAAGGTAGCTCATTCTCAGAGAGAGTGAAGCTGTGTCATTGTGGCCTCTGCCCACAGCAGTGGTATGAGTGTGACTACACAGCAAGGCGTGGCACATTTGGGGCTGTGTGTCAGCTTGGTGACACATGGGTTAACCTCAGAACTGACGGCTTGTCTCCTGTGACAACCATTAGCATGTTAGCTACCTCCCACAGGACTGCCTTTCTGTTGCCCAAGCACAGAACTTCAGGGGTATTTCAGGTGACCTGGAGTGCTGGAGGCATCCTCATGGGGCTCCCAAGTGCATGTCTTGCATGTCAACAGCCTGTGCTGTTCTGGAGTGGTAGGTGAATGCCAGATGGGATCCCCAAGGATATCTCAAATGCCCCTTTGGACACCTGGTTTGAACCTATCTGACCTCTAGCAGTTGTCTCCTCAGGAACTTCCTGAACCACTCCTGTTTTTATAGATTCCTATTTCAGGCACTATCATATCCATTCCTTATTTATATCATATGGTCTTCCCTCTACTCCTGTCTTTCTCCTAATGAAAAATCCTCCTCTGTTTATTTGTTCTTTGATCAGAACTGCCTTAAGTGATTGATCACACTTGCTATCCTTCAGTGTACCCTGTCTACCTCATTCTTTCTGAGATGAGTAAGGGGAGAGAAACTGGAACATGAGCACACCATAGTTTAAACTGTAGGATAATGGTATTTTCTATTTTACTCTTTTCCTTTCTTCAAACTGCTTAACAGCTGACTTGCTTTTGGGGTGTTGCTGCGTCAAACTGACATTTTCATAGATATCTGTAGCCTAATGCCATCACTGTATGTGTTAGCAAAAAATAATCATTCCCTCTCCTTTTCCACTCACTCATGTGCATCATTTCACATGTGTCTGAAATACCAACTAAAACTCATGACCTGGCAAGAAAGTATACTGACCTTGACAGTCAGGTATAATGACTTGTTATTTTATTACCCTGAGTGATGAATATTGTTAAAAATGGGGTTTATCTCACTATTTGACTTCTACTTCATTTGTGTGTGTACTGAGCAAAGCAGGTACAAGCATAAGTGTTTTCTCGACTTTACTGTAAAGATTTAATTCTGCCTTTCTCTTGTTTCCTAGTTGTTTATCTACATGTAGACCTTTCCTCTAATTCCATTTAAGTTTAGTGAAATTAAGCAGAGGGATGATGCAAAGACACCAAATCTTACTGTGCCAATTTTAATACAGCATTTAAAGCTGAATTTTAAGACTATAAGGACACCAAATTTTAGGATGTGCAGTTAATATTCTTAATGCTAGGAAATTTAGACATGGGTTAAAGAAAAATTGCATTTTGTCTGATATAAAGAAGAACTTTTATAAGTTCGGAAATTGTAGTGTGGAAGTTGTAAAACTGTCTCTTGAAAGACTAGAAGTTTAATACAGTGGATTTGGACCAGTGTAGAAGAGGCACAGACAAGAGAAGATGTTGTCAGGGAGTTGTTCTGTTTAGGAGGAGCAGGGTATAATGGGAGAGAGAAAAGCTAAAGCTATGTGCTTCAGAAGAGTGTAGGAAGACAATTTAAGGAAGTTCAGAAAATATGTCTGCAGCTGAACAAGTGAAGGGTTCAATTAGAATGAGGAATCATCTTGCTTCCAACTGTAGAGCACGCCTGGTAATTGGGATAATTGAATCATTTTGCAAAGAAATTTTTAAAGTACAAATGCATGAAAATACTTCAGGAGGGAAGAATCAAATTCCATTTCTAATAAATGAGATACCTTCAAATTTGGGAAGTGAAAGTAATTGCAAAAGTGGTTATGAAATAAGCAAAATAAGATCTGTAGGTGACTCATTCTTTACAGTGTTGCCACAACAGGGAGGCAGAACAATGTATTTATGACAGGGTTGTCACTAAACCTGTTGTACTAAGCTGCATAAAACTGCAAGACTTCAAGTTCTACAAGTAGCTCATGCTCACCTGTAGGATTTTGAACTTCTGGCTCACATTCCTTCAGGGATAAAGAACTAAAGTTGTCAAGGGACAATAAGTTGATGAGAAAGAGGAAGTGGTTCTTGCTTAGTGTGTGCACAGGCAGAGGCAATCAGATGCAATGGTTCTGCGGTTAGATGGTACTACTGACAGCACTGGGGAGTAGAGTGACTACTGAGAGGGGAATGAACTAAAGAGTGAATTGGTGGGACTCAGGGGGGCTGAGAAAAGGAGCACTGGGGCTACGTTCATGTTCATTGACTAGTATGACTAAAGAATTAGCCTCACATATTCTTACATATATATGTACATATACATGTATTATGCATAATATAGATGTATTATGTTACAGATAGGTAGTCAATACATGAGCTATACATGTATATATAATAAGATATAATTAACAGAACAGAATGACAAAGTATCTCATAAACAAACAACCCAACACTAACTTGAATGGGGAGTGAATAAAATCAAGGAGAAAGGGAATGACTAAGGGGAAGTGAGTGGAAAAGTATGAGGGAAGCTTCATTTTGCCAGTTTGTCCTGGACTCTGATCTATTGGTGAAGAGAATGGTGCACTAGATTAGTGGAGTTCAGTTGCTTCTGACTGAACTTTGAGTTCAGCTCTTCTACAAACACCTGGGGATGGGCCCTAGACATATATTTTGTGTTTGGAAATTCCTGAAACTTTTAATTGAATGTGATTTGTGGTTGTATGCTCTCCTATGTTTCATGTGGTTTAGTTCTTCACAAAGAAACTATGTTAGTGTTTCATAATGGACCATTGAGTTGTTACACAGAGAAATCTGTGGTTTAAGGCTTACTAGTGTTTAATTAAACCTTGAGAGTGCTTTTTTTCACTGGTTCACATACCATGAATTAGAAACAGTATAATATGGGTCTGCAACATATTAGAGTATTATATCCTTTCAAAACAATTTTGTAGTGGATCTCGGTACCATTCCTACTTGTTTTTCCTAGATACATGTGCATCACTGCTGGAGGAGCTATTCTTAAACTAAGACACTATCCTCTGACTCACTATAATCACAATGAAAATTGGAGTACAATAGAATGTTATATGGAATATGATTTCAGATTTTGATCCGTCTTGTCCTCTTTGGGCTTCCCTTAATGTCACAAACTGCCTCTGACAAAGCATATCGCTCTCGCTGCCCGGTCTCACCGAGACGTCAAACGTGTGAAGGCGGCTTGTTCTCTGCAGTCACCAAGCTCGGGGTACGAAGAAAGCCGTGTCACCCACCCTCACCTGCGGGCCGGCCCCTTGGCTCCCGCGCCAAGGGCGACCTCCAACCCGAATTCATGTTGGCGCCTAGGGCAGGAAGGCTTGAGGCTGTACCCCCGCCCAGCCGCTGACCCCTGCCCGCCGGGAAGGTGCTCCCCACCTCCACCAAGCGAGGCAAGAAGCGCCCGGGAAACGCAAACGCGACCCACCTTCTCCAGGGTCCACTGTGCTCCGGCGTCCCTCCCGAGCGCCAGGTGCAGGCAGGCGGCGAGGCACAGCGCCCCGGGCAGCCGGGGAGCGCCCCCCGAGACCCCCGCCATCCCTTCCCTCCGCCTCTCCGAGTCCCGGGGGTGGAAAGGGTAGAGCCGGCGCTGTGCCGGCGGAGGTGGAGGCGGAGGAGGGGCGGACGGAGGGAGGGAGGAGGCTGCTGCTGCAGGAGCGGCTGTGGCTGATGGAGCCGCAGCCCTGCCAGCCTCTCCCAGCCCGTGTGCCCTCCGAAATGAGCCCCGTCCCCGGCAGCACGTCAGCAGTGCCACGGGCCCGCTCCCCTCCTCCCGCCGCACTGTGAGGGGCGGCGCGCAGGGACTCGTGATTCCCACTGTGGGAAAAGCCGGAGCCTGCGGCTTTCCCCTGAAAGCTGGTTTTGTGTTCCGAGGGGCGGCTCTGGGATGGGCTGGGGGTCGGGGGCCCCGCGTGATCTCATCGCGTTCGGGCACCGGTGGGAGCTGCGGGCGCTGGAATGAGGGAGGGCTCTGCTGCGCTGCTCGGGCTCCTGCTGGGAACGGGCCGGGATCAGCGCTCATGGCTGATGGCCAGCTCGGAACGGATATTCGTGAAGGGTCTGACAGGGCAAAGACCTACAGAACTGCAAAGGGGTTTAATTTAGTAGTTTATAAGCTCTTCTTAATATCCTTTTTAGGCCTAAACCAACAATACTTGCTAGAATAAAAATCCATTCTTCAGGCATTTTAAATTCTGTAATTATACTATCAACTACCAATGAAGCAAAATCTGTGGTGAGGTGGTATTTTGCAGTAGACCAATTAAAATTATTAAACCAAAGATACGAGCTTCTGAGCCCGTGATCCCTTCTTTACGTCATTTGACATCACCGTTCTTGCTCTACGATGTCGCAGAAAACATCTAACTATTCTGCCTCAAAGATACTCCTTTTAAAGTCTCCAGTTTTTACATGTTTCTTAAAGCTCAGGCTCAATGCCAAAACAAGAGAGAAAAAAAAAAGATGAAAGAAAGGAAAGAGGGAGGGAGCAGGAGTAATCATATTGCTGCTCTCCAGCCTAATACTGGAAAGTCAAATCCTGGAAACTACAGCTTTGCAAGTATTCAGAGTGCCTGCAAGGGTAATATTAGAGAAATAGGCCAATTTGTGATCTGCAGATTGTTGACCCAGTTTTCACAGATTTCCTAGAAAAGCTGAAGGATCTGCTGCCCAGCATACAGATAACATCTCTGGTGGTGATAGCTTTACTACAGGATCAGCATCCTTCTAGCTGATACTCAGAATGTGGCTGTATCCAAATTTTTCATATATGGGAAAACGAAGAGTTAATTTAAATCGGTGCCTTTTTCTTTCTTTTCAGTCACAAAAATCCACTCATTGCTTAGTTAGGAAACTGTTCTAAATGCAAAGCCAAGTCACTGGTTAATAGGGAGAAATGGGCAGTCATTTGATTACCAAGAAAAATCAGCACAGTTTACAGATTTTTTGTAAAAGCTCTGGCATGTCAGCAGAGATCAAGTCACAGGAAATTAGTCTAAATCAACTACCAAGATGACAGTGATCCCAACAGGACTACATTAAGAACAAAAATCTGTTGCCCCTCCATGAGACTTCCTGTGGTTGACCGTACAATCCAGATGCTGGGCAAAACTTTTGGCTGATTTGCCAGAGTTCTCATTTAGCAGAAAAAAAAACCACAATAGCAATAGGAGAATTCTGACAAGAGTATAAGCTTGAGTCAGGACTTAGCTAACACTGTTTTTCCTGAAGGGATTGTGGTTGCACCGAGGGCTACAGTTCTTTGATGGATTACAAACCTGGCAAGTGTAAGGTCAGATTTAGGTAGTGTTAATATCACCTACATGGGAAACAAATATAAATGTGTAAGTGCTGGGCCAGATGCATAGAGAGATTGAATGGGATTTTTTTAAAGGTGCTACTTTTAAAATTTGGAGTGGAGATGTTGCCTTCCTCCTCCCCATAACTACCCCAGAAAGTTCTTTGCCTAATGGTATAAAGAAGACTGAGGGAAAAAAAATCCATTAAAATGTAACAGAAATCAGAACGATTCACAGCTGAAAATAGAATTATGTAACTATTTTAAAAAATAATACACAAAGTTTAAAAAAATCAAAGTTGATGGACATTTTGTTTTTTCCAGGGATTTATAAGGGAAAAATGTTGTTTAGTCCTATTCCATACCACCTTATTGAAAAGGTGTCAACAGATTGCTAAGTGGTCATCTGTTCTATTTTATACACTTAAAATAGTTGGTTTATTACCCCAGAAAATCAAATAAAGGTAATCAGATGTCATCTAGAGGGGGAAAATAAAGAGAGTTTATTTGAAGAAAAGCATACACAATCTGTGACAGAATAATGTGTACACTGTCTCTTCCTGTGCCCCAGTTGGTGTGACAGTGCCATCTACTGAAGTCCCGACAGACAGATGGTAGAGGCAGTGCTGTCAAAAGCTTTTCCTTCTGCTGACTCTCCAACATATCAGAGGCCAAACCACCTCTTGGAAGCTGAGGCCATGTGCTCCGTCATTACCTTGGCTATTAACTCTAGAGAAATGTGCTGCCAAATGCCGCGGATTTAATGCTCACCAGTTTTCTCCAGAAGGGGAACTCCTGCACCTTCCACCATTGCAAATGCGGTTGTGATGCTCAGCTTTTTCAACTAGCAGACCCATGGCAGGGAGAGCAGAGTGAGTGTGGTTTGTTTAGGTGGTTTGGTTGTTTGTTTGTCTTGAATCCACCTAATACAAGGTAATTTTGAGGCCAGGTTGGATGGAGCTCTGAGCAGCCTGGTCTAGTGGGAGGTGTCCCTGCCCATGGCAGAGAGGTTGGAACTAGTCGATCTTTAAGGTCCTTTCCAACCCAAGCCATTCTACGATCCTGTGATTTTGTGCCTGAGCTATGGCTGATTTGCCAACAGTGGTAATCCAGCAGTTAGAATATACAGGCTGAGATTTCCGGTGTTTGGCAGCCTGAGCTACTGCAGGCTCAGAAATCCATAGGCAGCTCTTACAGCCCAGAGGGAAAGGGTGGTGGGGCTGATGTTCACAGAGAAGCACAGGAGCCTGCAGGTGCCCAGTGCTCACGTGCAGCCTGTGGGTTTGAGCTGCTGTTCATCCTCGTTAACTGCTCCACCACTGATCTCTATAGGGTTTGGAACAGATTTTAGCAGGCTGTGGAAGCACTGCACTTGGTGACTCAGGTTTAAGAGATTCTGTTTCTATGGGCTGATGTTTTCACAGATGAAGTTTTAATAAGTGAAATGTGCGGGTTAAATGTAAACATTTATTTAGGCAAATAACTTTATTTCACAGTTGGTACGGTAGAATTATATTTATATATATGATATGAATGAAGCTACTCATCTGGCAGATGCAAGGATCTGTGAGATCATTCCTTAAACTGGTGGGGGTAAGTGAATTCCAAAAAGCCAATTACATATAATTTATAATATAAGTATGTATTTTGTTTTCAAAATATATGTTTATACCAAGGTAAATTTTGATTCCATGCTTTTTTAAGTCTATACTAAACTTTTCACTGGTTAGTTGGAGTTGGATTTTGGGACAAAGTTCAACTAAGGGCTCAAACCAAGACGATGAGGTAATTCAGAGACATATCCACATTTCAGGATTTTATCCAAACCAAACCTGAACTCCTAACTCTTTTGGGGGAAGGGGAAGAAATGAGACAATGACCTGAAAAAAAAAAAAGAAAAGCGTTTTTATATTTTGTCCACAGAGATACTACTTCCTCTTTTCTCTTTTTGCAAGCATTTATTGCAGATCTTGCAAATCCTGAATGGGTGCATTTGCTATGCAGCATCAGTGTCAAAAGCAGTGTAAAAATAATGGCAGCATGTGCTTATGGAATTTCACAGACAAATGCACCACTCAAGTCTTCCAAGACATTGCTTTTTTTTTAACCCAGTTAGATGACATGAAAATAAAACATCAGATAGGTGAATAGAAATGAATATATCCATTTTCAGATACCAATTATCCAAATGCTAGTGGTATTATTTTCTAACTGGAAAAACATAATGCATTTTTAGAGTTATAAAACAGTTGTTCCAAATGCAGTTTGTCTATGTAGACCTTGTGGTCCATACAGAATGAAAAACAGTTTTTGTTTATAAAAGCAAATAAATACAATAAAAGTTACCCTTGTTTCCTGCTATCTTGTAGACGCGAGAGAGAGTGATTTCTAAAGGGCAGCTGGCTTCAGGAGGGAAAGTTGAGCTGTGAAAACGAGCTAACCATCTGAGGGAATGATGTGGGCTCAGAAAAAAAAGAAACACTGATGAAATCCACAGGAAATCACTAATTATGGTAGTCATAAAAATAACAAAACAGAATGCTCGCCCTGTCAATTACTGCAGACAAGGCTAATGATGTCATGGTGCTGCTACACAGTCACACAAAGTCAGCTGTGCATATGGACAGATGTGTGTGCTGCTCTATACATAGATGCTGAATGCAGAGCTGCTTTCGGATGTGTTTTACACAGAGATCTTTACAAACAGAACAGGTTTTGGATGCTTCAGGAATATTTGTAGAAAGTAACATTGGACAAATACTTACAGCAGTTTGGTTTATTTTGGCTGATATTTTCTTGTGTTCTGTAATAAATTGATTTTAACTAATCCATCTTCTGATTTATGAAAAAGCAGATATTATGGCTTTGGGCAGCAAATTAAATAGCACCAACCCTATTGGATGGTAGAAAGCTGAGCTTCTTTACAAAGAAGTATAATCGTTGCCCAGTGACTGTGCTAATTCCTAATATCCATCTGGTATTGTCCATAAACAGCTATTTTTAGGGCTGTTACTCAGAATGTGAGAAGCTTGCTGCACTTTAAGTACACTAGAGTATGTGTTGTGCTAAACATCAAAAATCATGTTTATGGAGGCAAGCTCTATGTTTACAGTGGTGGCGTGTGGGAGTCCCACTTCAGAGGAAAAAGGAAACGAAGATTGCTCAGTTATCTGGTGCAGAGCTTTGGCAAGAACATCCTCTATTCATGGAATAGCCTTCATTAAGAAGTCCCAGGGTGGTTTTTGGCATTCAAAACCAGTAAAAAGCAGAATCAACCATTAACTGCTGCAGTTTCAGTTTAAAGTACTTCCAGATTTTGACAAGAAGCTGCATGCTAATTATTTATCTAATGAACTGGCTCCAATCAGAGTGCAGACCTGGTTACGCTCCGTATCAGCTGCACTGTGTAAAAATCTGATGCAAAACAGGGTGAAGTAAAG